TTAACGTATATTTAAAAATTAAAATTTCAATTCAAAAATTAAAAATCCAATTAGTTCTTAAATTGAATTTGAAAATTGGTCTAAAAATTCACTTTTTAATTAATATTTTCAAAATTAATTGTTGAAATAAAAGTTTTATTTATATAAATTATACATATTAATTTTTATATTAATCTAATACTTATAACTTTTTAATCAAAATTAATTGTTGAAATAAAAGTTTTATTTATATAAATTATACATATTAATTTTTATATTGATCTAATACTTATAACTTTTTAATCAAAATAACTTTATTTATTAATATATATTTAATGATGTTAAATTTTTTATAATTAACAAAATGATTAAATCTATTAGATTAACATAAAAATGTATATGTATAATTTGTATGAATAAAACTTTTAATTTAATGATTAATTTTTAAAAATATAATTTAAAAGATAAGTTTTTAAATCTTCTCTCTAAACAAATTAAAAAGATAATCTATAAAATAAATTTTCAATATTTATATAAATATATATGCAACTGTTTAAGGCATCCGGCTAAAGCAACGTTTCTTTTCCAATTATAAATATATAATATAATAAAGAATCCAATTCTTATAATTTCATCGAATGAATGCTTTGGATAGAGAATTATTTCTTCCCATAAATACTACATTCCTTATTCTATTGATGGATTTGATTTCGAAAAGTCTTCCAAATAAAATACCCTCTGTAAGGACAGAGCAGAGCTTACGCTCTACTACAGTATCATAGTTGCACGGTAATTACAGTAAGGACACTCACACCCAATTATCAGGTTTTACTTAATCTTTCATCTTTGAGAGATCTATTCCGTCAAAATACACCACACTCATTTAATGTGGTTACTTTGTTAAGATACATTACATTCACTAAAAACGTTTGTTCTGTTAGACACATCGATTATAATGATTAAAAAAGTTATATGGATGCCTTGTCAAACCAAACAAATACATCTACACGTGTCAAACCAAACAAATACATCTACACATGACTCTAAAGAGATATCATGAAATAACTAGAGAATTACTCTTTTAATATTTTCATTGAGAATGTAAACTAAATTATTGCTAAGTTAAGTATCAAAATATCTACCTTGAAAATGACCATAGGAGTTTTACAGGTTTGCCTCGTGAGGAGATCGCAATGAAGGAAGTTTCGAAGGTTTGTTGCATCAACACCATCCTGCATTTTCTCCATGATAAAGAGACAAAACAGAGACACGCAAGTACTACCATTTATTCGGTTAAAAACAGATTGTGTAACAGCAGTGGCAGAATCAAGTTAAGTGTGAGGCTGCAAGGACATGTGCTACACAATTACATTAAATGGGGAATCTACTTGTATGGTACAATATAGAAATTAAAATTATTAAAATATTTTTATTGAATTAAAGTGAGGGGAATAATTTTTTATATATTTGTTAATATAATTTTTATATGTTATTAAATAAATAAATGTATTTAATATCACAAATTTTACATAAATAAAAAAATAATTATTTAAATAATACATCAAATTATATAAAAAAATAATATAAAAATATTATTACAAAATTATTTTCCTTTCATTAAATGTACTAGATAAATGCATAACATAAATTGTATTTTTATTATATAATTTATTATATGGGTGTGATTATTGATATCATAAAAAATTATTAATGTCATTAAAATTTTAATTTTTAAATAGTACCTAAAAATATTAATATATTAATTAATTTTAATTTATTAATTAATGAATATTAATTGTTATATTAATTATTATTAT